ACGCTCCTCTGCAGCACGCGCGCGATGGGCGCGGCCAAGGCGAAGCGCGCGGAGGCCGTCCGGGCTCGCTCCCAGGACTGCGTCACGTGCTTCCTCAATGCTAGGAGGCTCGTCTGGCTCCCAGCTCGCTTGGACCCCGCTGAAGCCCCGACTCTCTTCTGGCCTGACGGGTGCCAAGCTCCCTCTGGGAGATGAGGATCCGCTGCTACTGCAAGAGTCGTCGTCGGCGTCCGAGATGTAGCCGTGCAGGGCGGCCCGTTCAAGCTCCCTTTGCAGAGAGGGGCTTCCCTCGCCAGCCTTCCGGTCGCGGAGCTGCTGGTAGGCGTCTGCGAGCTTCTGGAAATCCACCCGTCCTGCCGCCCGCCGCCCTCGCGACGGAGCATCCGCTGGGTTCACTTCGCTGGGGATCCAGCGCGCGTGGAAGCGGCGGCCGGAGAAGAGTCCCAGCGCGGCATCTTCCCTGCAGGTAGGTAGGAGATGTCTCGAGCGTGCCCGGCCCTTGGCCAACGCCAGGGCTAGAGCCAGATTGTCCACGAGGAAGGAGGCGTGCGTGTTGAGGTGGGCCCGAGAACGGAGTAGGTGCCGGACGGACATGACCAGGGCCCGGCCCTCCAACCTCATGGCCCCCCCTCCTCCTGCCACTCCCCGAGCGTACCGAGCCGCCAAGTCGAGGAAGCCGCCGCCGAAGCCGGAACCCCGTCTAGCAACATCTCGTCGTAGGGCTTATCGTCGGTAGCCGTGCGAGCAGCCGGTAGAAGCCGAAGATCGTCCAGACCAAGCCCGAGCACTTCCGGTCGAAGTGCGTGCTCCCGTGCGCTGATAGCCTCCTCCGCCCGGTACCTCCACCTCTCGTCACACCTCCCAATAAACGCAGCGTCCCGTCTATCCCAGCGTGCGTAGCAGACCCCGAAACCGTCGGTCGAGGCATCGCTCACGTGCGCGACGTCGTTTTACTTCATGTGTGTGCTGTGCGAGAGGAGAGGGGGGAGGTCTCGGATCCATCGGAGTTCACGGGCAACGGCGGGCCAGAGGCGCACCGCGACCTTTTCATGGATCTCGGCGAAACTGCAACAAACATCCACATTTGACAAAGCTTCCCTGCGCAGCAGGCCGGGCCAGGTGAAGTGGCCGATCAACTTTCGAATCTCTCTGCCGCTAGCCCTCCCAGCGTCCAGAACAAAGTCGATAGCAAGACGCAATCTCCAGATACGTCGAGAACTCACCCTGATGACGCGCCTTTCCCCGTCGAAAAAGAGCCCAGTGAACTCACAAGTGGTCTGGGCCTCGGAGGCCTCGTGACAGCCCAGTCCCATTCCTTCAAGGAGATTTCGAGCATCATTAATTCGGGAACTGCTCTTGTCGGCATCTAGCGAGGCGACGGCAAAGTTATCTACATACACAGCATGCTTTACAGAGGTGTTGTCAAACATATGCGGGGCCCCTCGATCAGAGACCTCGTCAACACTGTTTAAACATATAGTTTTATCCCGTTAGAGACGGCAGCCTGACATAAGAAAAGCGCCCAGGACCAGCCCATAGGAAGGGCCCGGAGAGTGGGGGGGCAGGTAGGCCCATGCCGTGCGCGCTCCTCTGGCGAGAACCCTGGGATGCACGCAGTTTTTACCTCGGGCAATACAAAGAGCTCGCACATGCCGGGCTCCAACGCTACTATAGAAGGCCGCCTGCACGTCGCGCTGGGCGATCTGGAGAGGCTCCTCCCCGTCGACCTCCACTCGGCCCCAAGCGCCACTAGTGGGAAGCGCGGTCTTGGCGGGGGGACGGAAAAATGAATTAGCAGCACGAGTGTCAAACATCATGCGAAGCGATGAATCTTTCTTGCGGACAAAAAAGACGCCCACCGTCGCTGGGCGAGCGGCAGAGAAACTCACGACACCTCTCGCGCGCAAGTCACTGCAAAACTCGCCGTACAGGGCAGGGCGCTTCACCAGTGCAGGGTCGGAGTACACGGAGCCGAAATCGGGCCCGTCAGCAGTGGCGGCATCGCAGCTCCCTTCGCGAAGCAGACGTGATCTCCACTCCGTCCACATATTGAGCTCCCGGCCGTCAAGCACCTTGGACAGGTCCGCAGGCTCAGAAGAAACCGGGGGCAGCGAAACAGCGCCCGCACGATGCGGAGATGGGGGGCCCGCGGCGTCGGCTTCGAAAGCATAGCCTGCGCGGGCGCCGCAGTGCTCCCGGAAGGCTCCCGCGGCGCCCCCCATGTCGGCGGGTGGCGGACCGACGGCCCTGTGCGCCTCCTTCACGCCCTCCAGGCAAGACAGCTGTCCGGCCGAGAGATGATCAGAAGCGGTGCCACCGCCGACAGCAGGGTAACCAAAAATATCGTTGAGTGCAGTAACGCCTCGATTGCACCAAGCCTGCCAGTGGAGCCGCGACTCCGCCCGTCTTCTAACCGAACGGCACCCGCTCCTCTGGCAGTCACCTCTGTCGAGGTCAAAAGGAGGAGGGCAGGGGGGCAACTCACGAGGAGGCCCTCCTGCGTTGGTGCCTCCTGCCATGCTGAAAACTGCGAGCAGCGCGGGCTGGCGGCAGATGGCCAGGTACGGCGACGGGCGTGGCCAGGCCCCCGCCGCCGACGTGAAGGACTAGTCCTTCTCGCCCTTGAGAGCCTTCTGCTCTTCAAGGGCTTTGCGTCGCTCCTTCGTCGCCTGGCGCTCGTTCGCCAGCTCCTTGCCCGCCCAGGGCTCGAGCTCGGGCGCGATGCAGAGCATGCCCCGGGTGGCCGAAATGCCGAGGTACAGGTGCGAGTCGGCGAACGGGTTAGCGACAGTGTTCTTCTTGGGGTCGTTCTGCTTCCTGCCGGTGAACTTCTCCTTGTGCTTCAGTTCGATGAGCTGCGCCCTCCTGCGCGCCAGCTCCGCCCAAGCCAACTGCGGCGGGTCTAGCTGGTCGAAGACGGCGCCGAAGTACAGCAGCTTCATCGCCGCGGCGTGCTCGATCACTCCTACGTCCGTGGACTGCAACTTCCCGTCCGCCAGAAACCTCGCGCGCCTCTGCTCGGGGGTCTGGAAGTGCTCGGCGATGCACGAGAGCACGAACAGAGTGGCCCGCGGCCCGTTCAAGGGCCAGTCCTCCCACGATGACTCCTGCATCGCCTCCACGGACGAGCGGAAGTCACGATGCCTGGCGCCCAGCGCGGTGCGGCTGATGGTGAGAACCCTGGCGTCGCAGTCAGGCTTGCCACTGTCGTCCCCGGCGTGGGGGCCCAGTCGGGCGAGCCGAGCCATGACGTCGCCCAGCCTGACCTTCAAGCCCCCGGACTCACTGAAGACGTCCTTGACAAGGTCGTCCAGCCCAGGGTCGTTCAGCTTCGCCAGCTGCTCCTTCAGCCAGATGTCGTTGTCGATCTTGGAGCGCAGGGATCGCTGGGCCAGTCCTGCCAGCATGCGAGCCTTGTTGAGCGCCTCCAGGCCGCTGGCCCCGCCCTCAGCGGGGGCTGCCGCAGGAGGCGCGCCCAAGGCCCGCCGGATGTCGCGGGCGCGGGCCTCGGCGTAGCCGTCCAAGTTGGCGAGCTCGACCCACTCCACGAGCACGCTCACCCCCTGCACGACTGCGATCCCCATCTTGCCGTGCGAGACGACAGGGTCGTGAGTCTCGGCGCCCAGCGGGAAGCCTGGAACGGGGTCGGCCACCAGCCAGGCGCCCGCCAGGGCGGTCGGCGGTGGCGAGGCGGCCAGCGCGCCAGGGCAGGGAGCTCGAAGGCCCCGTCGCCGATCGGCGTCGCGGTGCCGTTCCTGCCGCCGCCGTCGCCCTCGGCGCCCGTCTGGGCGGCCGCCGCCGCGGGCAGAGGCTGCTTGCCCCGCAGACGCCGCGCCGGCCCTGGGGGCGGAGGCGCAGCGGCGCCGGGGGCCAGCGCGGCGAGCTCGGCGGCCTCGCCGCCGTCGCCGCCTGTGACCGCCAGCAGCTCCGCGAGGTAGGCGTCCCCCTTCACGATCAGCGACCGCTCGTACGACAAAGGGATGTCGCCGGTGAGGGTGCGCCCGTCGAAAAAGAGGTGGGCCACCTCTTCCGACGCCCCAGCAGGGAGCTCGCGCCTCGGCGAGAAGAGGACGACCCGCTCGAACACTTTCGCGTCCGAGTAGATCTCATCGTGCACGTCGGCGTCTGGCGTGGCGATCACCCAGTGCCCTGCGCCCCGTCCGACGAGGCAGCAGAGGAGCCTCTCGTGAAAGTAGCGGTCGCCGTGGTACTTGACGAGCAGCCTGTCGCCCGCGGCCAGCTCTGAGAGCTGAGCGTGAGAGCGCCATGCGACCTCAACCTTCCTACGCAACCCGGCATGCCGCCAGCGCCAGCGCCGACCCACCAGCGAGCCCTGGCCCGGAGGCGTCCGGCTCCGCCTGCACGGCCGTCTGCCGGCGCACCCCCGCGCCGGCCACCAAGTGGCACGCGTGCACCACCGCGGCCCCCACCAGCAGCCCGCAGCCCGCGGCCGCCAGCAGCGCGAGTGAGCCCACGGCCCCTGGCGCCCTGGCTGGGCACTCACAGCTCCCGCACGTGACCGCGGGGCATGAGAGCGTGGGCGTGGCGCGCAGGAGCTCGGAGCACGGCGCTGGGTCCCCGCAGTCCAGCGAAGGGCACGCAGGGCAGTGCTCTCGCGCCCGGGAGAGTACCACAGCTGATATCGGCAGGATATCGCGCACAGTCTGAAGGATGTCGCGGAGCTGGTTCATCCACTGAGCGACTTGAGCACAGATGGCACCGGCGATGCAACGGTGGCGGAGGACTCACTCACTGGTCAGGATGCCCGTTACCAGAACTACAAGTGATATCGATCGAGCGAGATCGATCGTGTGATCGATCGGGGGAGATCGATTGTGAAATCGATGGTGGGGTCCATTGTGATATCGATTGGGTGGGGCGTTTCGGCTCAAGGCTTCTGTTGCACTCGGCGCGCGGGGGAGGCGCGAAGGCGCCCACTTCGGTCGCGCGCTTCCTTCGGCATCGCTGCGAAGGGCCAGGCTGAGGCTTTGCCAGCCGAAATGCTTGGCGAGAATGTGGAGACGCTGGAGAACATGACCACCCAAACGGCCAAGTACGCCAAGTGGTACGTGAGGGTCCTCGACCCGAAGGTCATTGATGACACGTTCACTGCGAGTAGCGAAACAGTGGAAGTGCAAAAGTTCAGTTGCGTTTTGGTGTCAAACGCGCCCGCGCAGTACATGCTCGGCGCGGTGCCCGTCAGTTTCAAAAATCGGAATGCGGCAGTCGAAGCCTCCAGAAAATTCACGGCGGACTCCGCGTGGGAGCTCCGGACCCCGAGCTTCGACGCCAGAGCCAAGTCGGACTTCGTCGGCGGCCCGTTGAAATCGGTGGTCTTGCTTTGCAGCCCGTCCACGCTGACCCGAGTCCCGCCCGCCGGCGCGGAAGCGTCGGCGCATCTCGCTAAGGAGCTGCATATCGAATTGGACATCGAGGGCGTCGTGGGGCTTCTCGAGGAGAACGCTACTGGTTCAAACCAAAGGGCGGCCTTCGACTTCTGCGGCAACTTCCTCGGCATCGGCACTTCCAAGCAAGTCACTAAGAACGGCGACCTCCTAATGGTAGCCGAAGCGGAGTTCGCGGATGCTGGCGGCGGGAAGATCGTGGTGGCCGTGTGGAAAAGGGCGCGCGAGTACTTCGCCCACGTGCGCCCGGGGTCTGGCGTCGCTGTGCTCGGAAGCAGTGCTGCGCTTGAGAACGGCGAGGTGAAGATCAACATCTGGCCAGGGGCCCACATCGGCACCGTTGGCGATCCGGCCCAGTCTCTGACAAGCTTGGACGCCACCAGTCTGTCGGCCGAGGTGCTCACCGCCCAGTTGGCGCCGTCTTCCAGTGGCGGTTTAGCGAGTGTCATGAAGGCCGCGGCGCACTCCACGTGCGCTGTGGCGTTGGCCGACGCGATTGCCCACCCCCAGCCCATCGCGTTCCAGATCAACCGGTGCCTCCTGGACGCGCCGCTACAGCGGGGCACGATGCGCGCGCAGGACGGTCGTTTCCTCTTCCAGAATTGCCGTCTTCGGGATGCCGCCGGGGGGGTGGACGTAGACATGGTCACCGATGCCGCCCCGACACTCTACGACTGCTCGACTCCTGACGAGGTGGCGGCCCAGCTTGACGCCCAGTCCTTGACAAGCTCCAAGCACCGGTTCAACATTCGGGGCAATCTCCGCCAGGAGAACGGGGTGGCCAAGCGATGCATCATGGAGGTGGGCATCGCGCCTCTGGACGCAATGTTTTCCACGAGTGCCTTGCGTATGTGCTACAGCCTCTCCGTGGTGTCCGGCGATGTCGTTCTGCCAGTGCCTGTGGGTCGCATCGTCGAGGGCCCGCTCCAAGGTTTGGCAGTCTGCCGCGACGGTGCCAAAAACATCGGTGCAAACCGGGTGTGGCTGCTGGTGCGCGGCCAAAGCGCCACCAAAATGGAGTCCCTCGACGACGCGAAGGCGCTAACATATCAGGTTTTCAAAATGTCCTCGACAGAGACCTTGTGTCTACTGACCGACCCGACGGGGGGCGCAAAGGTAAGGTCACGGGTAAGGCGGCTGGGCGCGCGTTATTCAGGGTGGACGTCCGGAAACTCAAAGCCGCGTTCTTGTGGCTCAAGGCCAACAACCCCTACTACGCGAACGTGGGGTGGCGAGACGACGCCGCGGGTGCGTGGGCCGGAGACGGCGCGCAAGTGGGTGCCACCCGGGAGGCCGACGACGACTCCGCGCAGGTCCCGCCAGTCACTCCAACGTGTTTCGAACGGTGGATGGGGCTCGCCGTCTCAGAGGCCGCGGCAGGTGATTTCGGATATGCCATCGGCAAGCGAGTACGAACTCCTTTTGGGAGGAGACCCCGTTGACGCGGAGCCAGACTCTGCCGACGCACGGCATTATGACGCGCGGGGGCGGGCTCGGCGCCTCGTTGCCGAGGTGTTCGGCCAGAACGTGTACCGCATGGCCACGTCTCTGTCGCAAGACATCATCGCGGTGGCTCTGGCAGTGCGCGGTATCCTGGTTCTGGGCCCGCCCCAGGGGGGGGACCGTCCTGCGCGCTTCGGGCCATCCGCTCCCTTGATGCACATGACTGCCCGGTGGACCTCCATGTGTTCCGCGCGGAGCTGGATGCAGTGATGATAGAGCAGTGCGGCGAGGACTCCGAGGTCGTGCACGCCGGTGCCGCCGCGTCAGCCGAGGCGGGGGATGACATGGGCCTGCGAGAAGACGCGGTCCACTCGCTCGCAGGCGCGGCCGAGGAGGTCCTCGGGCGGCGAGACGAGGCGCCAGGCTTCGCCAGCGCGCGCCCCGCTGCGGACCCGCCTGCAGGAGACGCGTCGCACGGCCACGGTCGGAAGCTGAAGTATCCGCGCGTCGATCCGCCCGACGTGGAAGACGAGCCCGGGCAGGCCGTCCGGGAGGACACGCCGGGGTACATGGCGAAAGCCTCCCCGCAATTGTTCCCGCGCGAGGTCGGCGACTACCGTGGCGACAGGGGCGGCTTGCGCCGCGCGCTTCGCTTCGAAGAGTGGGGCCGGCGCGTTGTGCTGTGGCGCAACGGGCGGTTCGTGCGCCGCGCCAGGTTCCGCTACTGGCTCTTGGACACCACGCTCCGAGTTATGGTCCCGGGCGTCCAGCGGATATGTTTTCGCGCCAAGAAAGTGTGCCAAGACAACGCGCTCGATTCGTTGATGGGCAGGGGCAAACGCCGTGAGCTGGCGAAGCAGATGTCGACCGTAACGAACTTGATCCCGGGGTCCGTCGGCGAGAGGCGCAATATGCGCCAGCAGCCCGAAGCCATGGTTCACCCGATCGAAGCGGAGATGGCCGACTTCGGGATGAACGGTGGCGCCGGCAAGATCCCGTCCGGCTTTTGTACGCTTGCCTGCAGCGTGTACAAGCGGGCACAGCTACGCGCGACGCTGTTGAAGGCATGCCCTTCTGGTGCCGCCAGCGATCCCGCGTGTCGGGGGCGCTGCGCGCAGCGGACGCAACTCCCTTCAGGTCCAGACAGGGAGGCCGCCATGAACAAAACGTACTACCAGCTGTCAGTGCGGGACCCAGGTGCTGTGGCGTGGTACTGCGCCGTCGAGCTGGAGATGCCTACGGCCTTGACCGCGGCGTTGCTGACAGAGCAGCTGCAGTCCGACTCTGTGCCTGGGCACGGCGCACTGCGGAAAATCCAAGCGGAGTTGGGCTCGCGCATGGGCGAGGACATCACCTTGGGAGGCAACCCTGACCTGCGCCATTTCGGCCAGGTCGACGACTGGTACGTGACGTACGAATGGAGAGCGAATGGGGCATCATCCACGCGCACATGGCATTCTGGGTGGTCGGCGCGCCTCGCATCGACAAGATCGAGGTACCGCGTGAACGAGGAGACGAGTCAGGGGCCGTGGAGATTGACGAGCCTGTGCCTGGTCAACACGCCGTGCCGCAAGCAGAGGCCGCGGATCGTCTGGCCGCGTTCTGGGACCGCGCCTACACTGAATACAACGTGGCAAAAGCCATGTCGCCCGGGCTGCCCGAGGCAGTGCCAACTGGCGGGGGCCTGGCGGCAGGCCTTGCCAACGCCGTATCGGGCGCCTCGGCAGGTGTTGTCGGCGCGCGTCAGGCGCTCGGGCCCGCGGGCGAGAAGCAAGTTCGATCTCCTGAGAGTATTTCGTACGAGGCTCATGCCCGCTGTCTCTTGGGTAGCCTCGATGCCGGCGGCGCTGCTGGTGAACGCTACTGGGTCGAGCTGGTCGTCATCCTGGAGGGCTGCTCCAGAGCGCCACGTGACGTTCTGCAGACGGAGCTCCTCGAGCCAGGCATTGCCAGCTCGGGGGCTCGGCAAGCAAGAGCCATACTTTGCTTCGTCACGGCGCTGGCGGAGTGGGTGAACATGCGCGACTTGCACAAACCTTATGCCATGGGCCAACCCGCCAAAGACCAGCGGTGCGCGCGCGTCGACGACGAGCATTCCACCATGGAGCGTGTCTCTTGCAACAAGCTGTTCCCTCGCGCGCTCGGTGACCCCAGCGCGGAAACGGTCGCGGAGGACCCGCGCCGCCGCGATCTGCGCAGGTTATGGCGGCACGGGACTGCCATTTTCTCAACAACTTCGCCCCCATCGTCATGCTGGCCATGCTGTCCAACATGGACTTCAAGACCACGTTGACCAAAGACGCGGTCATCGAGTACATGGCCAAGTACATGGCCAAGTCCGGCCAGGGGGCGCTGATCAAGGTCATGGAGCACAGTTTCTCCGTGTGCATGGAGAAAGCCAGAGAGTGCCAGCAAGGCACCGGGTCCGCCGTGCTCCAGTGGTTCAACCTCCAGTCGACCAGCGAGGTCAAGTCCCAGCTCCAGTGCGTGCACCTCATCTTCTGGGCTCCGCGCTTCATGTGCACACGGGAGTTCAGGGACCTGTTCCTCAAGGCCGAAACCAGGCAACCCAAGGCGATGACAAAACCCGTGGCCGATGATGACCCGGGCGCTCGCATCGTCCAGAAATCCCAGGCGGAGCACTACGCGAGCCTGTGGGAATGGAAATTACCGTCGAATGCTGCGCTCTCCAAGCGGCACCCGTTGACAGCGGAGCCTTTGTGGGCGTTCATACTTCGCAGGGCGGGGGCGCCAGTTCTTGACGGCGCTACTCTTGCTGCCTCGCAGGCCGAATTCGAGCGCAACTGACAGACCTTCTTAGAATTGCTCCGGTGGTGGGAATTCAGGCGTTGCTTCAACAGGTCCGGCGACAGCGTGGTGCTCAAGCCAGCGCCCGACATCGTCGTCATCCATCCTGTGGGCAGGTTCGGTCAGGCGAAGACTGATGCGCAGTGGCGAGACGCGTGCATCTGGACTCTTCTGGCGCACTGCAACCATGGCGAGACGTGCAAGGGAGCGTTTCGGGGCGCCGAGCACCTGGCCGGTTTCACCGACGAGGCTGTGGCCGAGCTGATGCAGCGCTTTGCAGCCGCCCAGCCCGGCGAGCGCTTGAGTCTGCGCCGGGCGCCATGCCCTCCGCGCGTCGCGAAGGCGTGGCATTTAGGGATGGCGCGCCGTGCACAGGCCGAAGAGAGATTATCCCAGTGCGACCCTACCTAGGAGTTGGAGCCTCCAGGAAAGCAACATTAGCAGCAGCAGTAGTGGATGCTGTGCTGCGCTATGCTATGCTACGCTCTGCTCTGCTCTGCTCTGCTCTGCTATGCTGCGCAATGCTATGCTGGGCTAGGCTAGGCTAGGCTATGCTGCGCTATGCTATGCTGCGCTATGCTCTGCTCTGCTCTGCTCTGCCCTGCCCTGCTCTGCTATCCTATGCTTTTGCTTTGCCTTCGCCTTTGCCTTCTCTTTTGCCTTTGCTTTGTTGCTATGCTATGCTCTACTATGCTATGTTATGTTGCGCTCTGCTATACTATGCTATGTTATGCGTTGCTATGCTGCGCTATGCTGCGCTCTGCTATGCTCTGCTATGCTAGTAGGCTGTGCTATGTTATGATATGCTGTGCTATGTTAGGCTATGCTATGCTATGCTGCGCTATGCTATGCTGTGCTATGCTATGCTGCGCTATACTATGCTAGGCTATGCTATGATAGCCTATGCTGCGCTATGCTATGCTATGGTATGCTATGCTATGATATGCTACGATATGCTGCGCTATGCTATGCTATGCTCTGCTATGCTGTGCTGTGCTATGCTGCGCTGTGTTATGCTGAGCGATGCTAGGCTTTGCTATGCTATGCTATGCTGCGCTATGCCATGCTGTGCTGTGCTATGCTATGCGATGATATGGTATGATATGCGGAGCTATGCTATGCTATGTTTGACTATGATATGATATGCTATGTTATACTGTGCAAAATCTGCGCTGCGCTATGCTGCTCTGCACTAAGGCAAGCTAAGGTAAGCTAAGCTATGTTAAGCTACGCTAAGCTAAGCTAAGCTAGGCTATGCTAAGCTAAGCTAAGCTAAGCCAAACAAAGCTAAGCTAAGCTAAGCTAAGCTAAGCTAAACTAAGCTAAGCTAAGATGAGGCAAGCTGGGTGAACCCAGGGGGCGCAACTGGGGGAACCGCGGGGCGGATGCTGGGGGGGCCGCCCGGGGCGCTTTCCACTGCCCGGCCCTCTTAAGCCCAGAGAGTAATAACCCTTCTAGGCAGAGCCTAGGTAGGGAAAAACGGTCGACCTCCCGAGTAGCAGCTGCTCTCGCCCCGGCGCAGTACATATTCGTTGAGCACGGCGCGGGCTGGAAGCAGAAGCAGTGGGTGGACATTGCCGCGGCGGACCAGGAGGATCAGAGGAAGGCCGTTTGAGACGCTGGGAGTTGGCTTTGGGGGGGCCCTCGTCGCCATGGCTGCGCGCAGCAAGACCAATACTTCGAGGCGATCTAAGCCGTGGAGACGAGAGGGGCCTCACAAGGCCCCCATGAGGCCCCCAAGAACGAACGAACTAATACATTTGTTCCCGGGTGGGGGAAATGGTATCAAGGCTCTTGACGCCGAGGCCCTTAACACCGAGGCTCTGAACGCCAGGGCTCTCCAGAAATAATGACCCTGGGAGTGGTCTGCGGACCGAGTTTGAGACGACTTTTCGTTTCCAGCGTTTCAAACTGCCTTCTCCGAGAGGAGGCGACCGAAGCGTGGCGCAAGGCGGAGCTCCGGCCAGTCTTTGGCAGCGCGGAGAAGCGAGACGAGGAGTTTGTGATGGAAGAGGAGGACAACATGAATATCCAAGAGGCCATGGCGTCTATCATCAAAAAGGAGCTCAAGTGGACGCGCTGCGAGCTGCGCGATTCCCTTCTAGAGGCGGAGGTCGCGGTGCCTGTCGTGTCCTCCATCCGCAACTACATTTCCGCTCTCCACGCGCAGTGCGGAGACGCCGATGCCGGCTTTCCCCCGCAGTCTTTCAAGTCCCACTCCAAGAAGAAGCTGCAGGCCATTCTTCGCATGCTCGGCCGCGCGGGCCTGGAGCTCGGTGGGGGAATCGATGGCCGGAAGCCAGTTCTGGCACAACGACTGGCGCGCTGGCTCAACCGAGCCCTGGCGGCAGGTCACCGGGTGCCCGGGGGCGCGTCGGGCAGCGACGGCGACGGCGCGGACGATCTAGGAGAGGGCCAGCGGCCACGGAAGCCGATCCTGCTGGAGCACGCGGCACATGTTGGTGAGATGCCGCGGAATGCCGTTGTCGCGGCAGAACAAGCGGAGGGCGCCTTCGGCAGAACGTTGGCGACGGAGATCAACATTGATTACCCGGACGCCGTGGGTGCAGACACAAAGGAGGAAGAAGAGGCACTGGCGGGCCACCAGGTCAACCCGAGCGGAGTGGATTATAAATGCATCGCGTGGCAGCCAAGGGCGCCAGACGATGTCAAAGCCGCCGCAGTTGGCTGGCCAGCCACTTTGCCTGCTCGCCCCTTGGAGCGGTCTGACTTTCTCGGGCGTCGTAGCGAAGCTGCGGGGTGGCCTGGCGGAGCTCGGCAGGACATTCCACTCCGAGATGGCGGCTGCTCCGGCAGATTTCGACGCGGCCGCGCAGATACTCGATCCGACTCAAAAACTCTTCGCGCAGATGCTGGCAGAATGGGCAGACGAGTGGGTGGCGTGGCGCCAGGCTTTGCCAGCGACGGGCGGGGTCCCAAGAATCGGGCTGGCACTCAGACTTGCGGTTCTGGGCGCGGCCGGCACGGGGGAGACGCGCGCTGCCCAGATCGCAATCAACCCGGTCCGCAAGAAGTTCGGGTCGCACGGCAGTGTCCTCACAATGGCCTTCTCCGGCGTGGCAGCAGCGAACCTCGGGTGCGGCGCGAGAGCGATCGACGACATCTTCCACGCGAGCCGCGATTCCGCGAGTGACGACTTGGCCGGAGACCAGTTGGATAATCTCGTCGACCTGCTCGAGTACGTGGAACTGTTGCTTGTGGACGAGGTGTCCACGTGTGGGGCCGCCTCTTTCGAGATCGTTAGCAGGCGTATGCAGCAGGTGGCGCGCGTGCTGTGGCGCAGACGATTTCGCTGCCCACCCCCGGCAAACATGGGCCCGTTCGGCAGCATCGGCGTCGTTCTCATGGGTGACTTCGCACAATTACCGCCTGTGCTGGCCACTAGCTTACTTCCTGGCATGCCTCGCGTGGGCGCGGGCGGCCCGACTGTCCGAACCATGGCGCTGGCCGGCCAGAAAACCTTCGCCGAATTTGAAGACGTCTCACGTTTGCGTCGTATTCACCGCCAGAAGGGTGCCGATGCATTCAAGGAGTCAACTATGAGACTCTGAGATGCGGCGATCACAACGGAGGATTACGCTCTCTGGAAGACCCGCGAGTTGGACGCGATGAATGGCCCGGAGCTTCAGTCTGCCAGCCAATGCGCGTGGCAGGGCGGCGAGTCTCTCATCCGCGAGGGGTTGTCTCTCGTGTTGTCGGGAATATCAACGGTAAGCAATTGGCCGCCAGGGCACCCCTTCACGGCGCGCCAGGCTTTGCCAGCGCGGGGGGCGTCGTCGCGAGGACAGAGGCACGACGCAACGACCCGCGCGGATTGCAAAGGAGTGCTGATGACTTCCGACAACTCCGCAGGGCACTACACCTGTGCGTGGGGGCGCGGGTGATGTTAACGCAAAATTCTTTATGGGGCGCCCCCGCTGTGCCCCTCGGGCTCATGAATGGGGCTCGGGGAGTGGTGGTCGTCGTCATCGTGTGCGCCTCCCCAGGGGGGCAGCGCCTCGCAGGGGTCGGCCATCCCAGCTCCACCGTCGGAGAGTTTCCCCGGGGGGGGCCCGCTTGCCCAGTTCCTGACTTCGTGGTCGTGCATTTCCCCGCGTACAAGGGCACCGCTTGCTTCGACAATCTCCCAAGGACCTGGGTGCTGGTCCCCTGCGCAGAGGTGCGGCACAACACCTTGCCGTCGTTGGCTCGCGCCGGCATGCCCTTGCGCCTGGCGTGGGCGCTGACCGTCCACAAGTCGCAGGGCATCACGGCGCACGAGGGCTGCGTCGCGTCCTTGGCTGGGTGTCGCGGAACCAACCCGGTGGGCAAGCTCGGGGTGGCCTTCGTGGCATGGGCCCGTGTCACGAACTGGGAGTCCATGGCCTTTCAGAAGCTCCCACTCTTGACAGATTTTCTGTCCGCGCGCCTGACGAAGGACTCCTTCGCCAGGGCGCAGTTCTAGAGCAAGGCAGACGCCATGTTTGCCAGACTGCTCGAGCGGAGAGGCACTTCTCCTGAGGCGCTGCTGGCTGAGCGCGAGCAACACTTGCGGGCCGCCACGCTCGCAAAGGAAGGGCGCGAACCTAATGGCGCTGAGCTGGCAGATCTGCGGGCGACGCTGTCCGCGGTGGGCGTGGCGCCTAGCAGCGGCGGCGTCCCCCGGTACTGCGAGGAGCAATCGGGCCGCAAGGCCGCCGGCTCCAGGAATATTGTGGCCTCGTTCCGCGCGCAGAATCCGGAGAAGAAGAAACCGGGCCAGGCTTTGCCAGCCCGCGGGGAGAGACAACACCTCGTCGACACAGTCGGGCACTCGGGGGCCCGCGGCTTCGGAGGCGGAGGCCGCGGCTGAGGCCTCTGCGGCGGCGACCATGATCGACGTGGGCTTCGACGAGGTTGACATCGCCCGTGCGTTGGAGCAGACGTCGTTCCAGTTCCGGCAAGCGTTGGTGCTCCTGCTCAACGACCTGGACGCGCAGCGCACAAAGTACGACGCACTCGAACGGTTCCGCCGCCATTCTGCCAAGACGGTCCGGGCTCTGGACTGCGAAGTGTTGGAGGGTGGCGACGTCCTGACGCAGTGCTCGCAGCGCGCGCGCGCAATGAGTCGCAATTCGACGCGCGGGTCTGGGGCCTGGGGCAGTATGCGGGCCGAACCACAGGCGCGTGCTTCTGGCTGTGCCTCGCAGCAGGCCCGGCCGAGCGCGGGCCGGACGTCGTGGCCCAGGTCTTGCCGGGCAACGCTCCAGCCCATCGAGCGGCAGACCAACTGACAGCGCGCGGTGCGCAGCGGTCTGTCGACTCTGGCGTGCGTCACTCGCCTTTGGGCGTGGTGGCGGAAGCTCTGCGGACCCGGTTCTGCGTCGGCGAAGCCGCCGTGCTGCTCAGAGCCGACATGAAGAACATAATATACACGGCCTTTGCTGGCCTGGATGTCGGGGGCGCCGTGCGCGCCGAGGCGCTGTGCGCTCGCTGGGTGCAGAAGCTGGCAACCAAAGAGTGCGCGGACGAGTTGGTGGTGATGTCGGCCGCCTTGGAGTTCGGCATCCGCATCGCTGTCGCCCCTTTCGCTCCACCCACTGCGCTGGCGCAGTGGGCGATCCTGTCTTATGGGCCAGGGAACGCCGCCGTCGTTGTTTGCGTGGGCAACAATGATTTGTATTCTGTTTATCTGTCGCGGGAATCGTGATGGCGCCGGGCGCCCGCGCCAGATTTTGCCAGCGCGTCGCAGCTCCGCCTCGTTTCGCTGCGCGCGGCGCGCGCGCTGCCCGGAGCTCGTCGCAGCGCGGAGGAGAGCCAGGCCACCTTGCCGAGCAAGAAGTGAGTGCAGGGGGTACGGGCTGCGCCAGGCTTTCCCAGCGCTTCCGTATTCCCTGACCAGATGAGGCGCGCATTCGCTGGCTTTCCAGCCGATTGCCCTGCTTCGGCTGGCGGTGCCTTCGGATGGCGGCGTGAGCTTGAAAACGCACAAAAAGATACTTGCGGCGGCGGTGCGTCGTCCTCGACCGCCGAGGGGCCGCCGTTGAGCAATGTTTCGAAGCGATTAAGGCAGTGGCGACGACAGGGGCCTTAGGAGGCCCCAAACAAAAAACCGCCCTCGTCGTTCGCCGGCAGCGGGCGCTTCCGGGTGGTGGTGGTGCCGAGGCGCCGATGAGCGAAGGGTGGCGTGAAGATCTCAACGCCATGGCCCCCAAGAGCGAGCGGCGACGCAACGATCTCCATTGTTGCCCGTTGTTGGGCCCCCCTCCCAACCTCCTTATCACCGGCAGGGTGGTCGTATAGGTCTCACCATCGATCTCCCAATCGATCTCACCATCGATCTGCTAATCGAGCTCATCATCGATCTCACAGCTTATCTCACTATCGATCTTACAACAAATCGTACGATCAGTCTCATTACCGATCTCACAATCGATCTTACCATCGATCTCAATATCGGCCTCACAAGATATCTCAAACTCGATCATTCGATCGATCTCAATCTCGATCTCACTGTCGGCCCGACTATACATCTCGCAGGCGAACTCATTATCGATTTCACATCAGATCTCCCTACCGATCTCCAATCAGATTTCACTGTCGATCTCACAACATATTTCCCCATCGATGTCACAACAAACCTCACTATCGATCTCATAACAGATTTATCTCACTATCGATCTCACAACAGATCTCACAACATATCTCACTATCTATCTCACCGCCGCAACGCCGACGGGACACCCCGCGCCGCCGACAGCGCGCCCCGCGCCACCGACGGGGCACCGCCGCGCCACCGAAAGGACACCGACGGGACACCGCCGAGCCACCGACGAGGCACCCTGGGCCACCGCGCGCCGGGGGCGGGGGCGGGCAACCAGCTCCACAGCCTCTAGCCACGCTGGCATCATTCCTCTCGCGCGTCCTCGCAGCTCGATCAGGTGATGAGGAGGTCTCACGATCGATCTGATCTCACTACCGAGCTCATGATCGATAACACCACAGATCTCACTATCGATCGCACTATTGACCTGACTATCGATCTCACTATCGATATCGCTATCGCGCCACCGACGGGGCACCCCCCGCCACCGACGGGGCACCCCCGCGCCGCCGTCGGGGCACCGCCGCACCACCGTCGGGGCACCTCCGCACCACCGTCGGGGCTCCTCCGCACCACCGACGGGGAACCCCGCGCCGCCGACGGGGCGCCCCCAGAACACCGCGCGCCTGGTGACAGGGCGGTCAAACGGCTCCGCGGCCATAGCCGCGGCGGCGTCATTCCTGTCGCGCGCCCGCGCAGCTTCGCCTCGCCCGCGCGCGCGGCACGGGCGCGAAACCGAAGCCGATTTCCCGTTGGGGGGCTCTCCGTTCCACGACGGCCTCACCCCCCCACCTCCGAACGCTGGGGTCGCGCGAGCGGGAAGGGCCAGCCAAGCGGCGGGTCCGCGATAGCTGACCAGTCGGGCAACCGTGAAAAATAACGCCCGGGGCCGCCCGCAACTGCGTGGCATGCTTTGGCGCGCGCTGGCTGGAAGGCATGCTGGATGTCAAGGGGCAAGAGTGGGAGAGGCCAGTGCGGCGGCGGTGCGAGACGGCCTGGCTAGCAGGGCAGACCTCAATAATAAAACCAGGATCGCTCGCGCGTGTCCGGCGGGAGCGGGTGGGCGGCAGCGGGTGCGAGCAGGAGGGGTCAGCCAGGCTGCGGAGCCGCGACGGCTGGCCAGTCGGGCAAGCTTGAAAATGAACTGGGTCGCTGGCAAATGCTCGGCATGGGGGGGGGGGCGGCTTGGGCGCGCGCTGGCTGGGAAGCAGGTTGCGCCTCAAGGGGCAATCGTGAAAGAATCGAGCAAGGCGGCGGTGCGCGACGGCCCGGCTGACCAGGCAAACCTGAATGGTAAAAGCAGGAACGCTCGCACGTGCCAGGCGGGGGAGACGGACTCCGTGGCGGGGGGTGCGAATAGAAGCGACCGGGGATGCGGCGAGGCCGTGGCGGCTGGCTAGTCGGGCGAACTTGAAGAATGCGACCGGCATCGCTCGCATATGCCTTGCAGGAGGGGGGGGCTTCGGCGCGCGCCGGCCGGGAGGCAAGCCGGGCGTCAAGGAGCAAGAGTGGGAGAAGCCAACGAGGCGGCGGTGCGCGACGGCCCAGCGAGCTGGGCAACCCTCGTAAACGACGCCGGGATTGCTGGCGCGTTCTCGGCGGAAGGCAGGGTGGGCCTGAGCGGCGAGGGGCGCGAGCAAGAGGGGTCGGCCAGGCGGCGGGGCCGCGGCGGCTGGCCAGTCGGGGAAAGTTGCAAAACGAGACGGGGATCGCTCGCAAGTGCCTGGCTGGAGGGAGGGGCTTCGGCGCGCGCTGGCTGGAAGGCAAGCCGGGCATCAAGGGGCAAGAGCAAGCGAGGCTCGGGTGGGTGGTGATGGGGGGTGGTCTCACTGGGAGGTGAAGATGAAGCGGCCCTCTTCTTCACTCCCCACTTAAGTCACCCCCCGTTGCCGCCCGCCCGCGGAGCGGGGATGCGCGACGGCCTGGCCAGAGGGGCAGATGCCCAAAGAAAAACTGGGGCCGCTCGCGAGTGCTCTGCGGGAGGGAGGGGCTGGGCGGCAGCGGGCGCGAGCAGGAGGGGCCAGCAGGGCGGCGGGGCCGCGGCGGCTGGCCAGTCGGGCAAACCTGGAAATAAACTGGGATCGCTCGCAAGTGCCTGGTCGAAGGGAGCGGCGGCATCGGAGGGCGCTGGTGGGAGGGCAGGTTGGGCGTCTAGGGGCGTGGCGAAGGGCCAGCAATGCGGCCACATGTGGCGGCCCGTCCAGGCGGGTACACCTGATCGCCCGCGCGTGCCCGGCGAGAGAGACGGGCTGGGCGGGGGGGGGAGGCGCGACGGCCTGGCTAGTCAAGGACACCTCAAACATAGAACTGGGATCGTTCACGCGTGCCCGCCGGGAGTGATGGGGCTCGGCGGCAATGGGGTGCGAGCAGGAGGGGCCAGCGACGCTTCGGGGGCGCGACGGCTGTCTAGTCGGGCAAACTATAAAAAACTGTGGTTGAACCCAAGCTGAGTGAATGCAAGGCTTGTCGTCGAGGGGCAAGAGATGGAGAGGCCAGCCATGCGGCAGTGCGCGACGGCCCAGCTAGCGGGGGCAAACCTCAAAAATGACACCAGAATCGCTCACGCGTGCCCGGCGAAAGGGAGGGCGGCAAGGGGTGCGGGCAGGAGGGGCCAGCCAGGCGGCGGAGCCGCGATGGCTGGCCAGCCGAGCAAACATGAAAGTAAGAGTGGGATCGCTCGCAAGTGGCTGGCAGGAGGGAGCGGCTTCGGCTGGCAAGCTTCGAACAATCAAACTGGGATCGCTCACGCGTGCCCTGCGGGAGAGAGGAAGGACTGGGCGACAAGGGGCGCGAGCAGGAAAGGCCAACAAGGCGGCGGCACCGCGACGGCTGGCCAGTGCCCCAGCCAGTACCCGGAGGAGGCGGAGAAGGCGAGAGGGCAACAACTCTTTTTGGCTTCTCAAGGGTTTCCGTGGGAAGCTTGGGGCGGTCTCGAACCCCCTTGAAGGCATCTTGGCAACTATCCTGAATCATCGTGGGCTCTCTTGTGCCATCTTGGAGGCAAACTGATCTTAGGCAGTCTGGCGGCCTTCCCGGGTCCTCTTGGGAGCTCACTGGAGGCGAATCTTGGGGGTATTCAGGAATGCCTCCCGATGTTCCAGAGGTGGCGGGCACCTTGCCCGCGTATCTATACATTTTGTATGTATATGTATGCATGCAGAAAGAGACGGGCGTGTATATATACATGTGGGTATATATACATATATACATACATATACACATATATATATATATATATGTGTGTATAACTATATGTATATATATAGACATATGAATTTACATACACATACGCATATATATAACAATAAAACAACTACATTTTCACACACGACATTGTTATACATAGTGTATATGTCAGTATATATATATGTAGATCGACAATACATAGAACAACATGTATACATGTATACAGAGAGAGAGAGAGAGAGAACAAAGAGAGAGAGAGAGAGAGAGAGAGAGAGAAAGAGAGAGAGAGAGAGAGAAGGAGAGAGAGGGAGAGAGAGAGAGAGAGGGAGAGAGAAAGAGAGTCGGGCGTACGCGAGGCTGGGAGTAAAGAGCCTCTTCTCCACCCATATCTCGAACACACCGAGAACATCCAGGACACCTCCCCCGAATTCGCTTGAACACACATCCTAAACCCACTTTCTGCTCCCCTTCCCCCTTCCTCCTCCCGGTCCTCCTCTACCCTTCTCCCTTGCCTTCCTTGTTCCTCCCGGCGGCCTGTGCCGAGATTTCCTCCTCCCTCTCCATGATCAACTGGCGGATGGTGCGAGCCGCCATGATCAGCTCGCGCTTCCGCTTCCTCATCTTGTCCTCCCGCAAATTTTCGTGTGAAGCTCCTCTTCCTCTGTCTCCTACCTTTTCCAATCCTCCTCCTCGTCCTCCGTCATGATCAGCTCGCGCTTCCACTTCCTCATCTTGTCCTCCCGCAAATCTCCGTGCAAAGCTCCTCTTCATCTTCCTCCTCTGTTTTCCAATCCTACTCCTCGTCCTCCGTAGTGATAAGCTCGCGCTTCCGCTTCCTCATCTTGTCCTCCCGCAGATCTCCGTGCAAAGCTCCTCTTCCTCTTCCTCCTCCCTTTTCCAATCCTCCTCCTCGTCCTCCGTCAGCGCACCTGGCCCCATCGGGACCTCTCAAAGCTTTGCGCGCCGTGGGATCTCGCCGCTGGCGTCTTGTGAGGGGAGAAGAGAGGACAAGCCCGTGCAAACTGACTACGTTGCTTTCCCTCCTCTCCCGACTCACCCTTCTCTTTCTATTCATCCGCCCCCTCCTCCTTCGCTTCACCTCCTCCCTCTCCTCCTCCTTCACCTCTCGTTCTCCTCCTCCTCCTCCTCCTCCTCCTCCCCTTCCGCCTCCTCCTCCACCTCACTTCCCATTCTTCTTCTCCTCCTCCTCCCGCCCTCCTCCTCTTCTTCCTCCTCCTCCTCCTCGTTCAGGCGACTATTCTAACCCGTGGTCGCCCGCTCGCCTGCATTCTTCTCGCTCCTCCCCCGAGGGATGGGCGGGGAGAAGGATGAGAGGGAGGAGGGGGAGGAGGATGATGCGAGGAGGAGGAGTAGGAGGAGGGAGTAGGATGATGATGATGATGATGATGATGATGATGATGATGATGATGATGATGATGATGATGATGATGATGATGATAATGATGATGATGAGGAGGAGAAGGAGGAGGAGGAGGATGAGGAGGGGGAGCTGTGTAAACCCAAGACTCATCAACGATGTTGCAATGAACCCTCCCTCCAAATTCCCCCTTCACAAGTCCCTACAAGGATCTAGGTTCACTGAAGGAAGTCCCCCGTTTGAAGACAAGCGCCGCGAACTTCAACGCCGCGAATCAACTTGCGTCCAGCTGACCCTGAATCGTGCCAGAACGCCAGTCCTGGACTTCACAACCGCGGGTCAACGTGACTGTTGTGACCTGGCAATCTTACATCGTGCCAACACACCACCTCTGCGACGTCAACCATAATAGTCCTTGAATGTTGTGTCAACTCTTAAAACGAATATGCCCGGCGCTGAAGCGAGAACGACATGTTGGAAAGGAGTCGCCGATCATCCGTGAAACTGTTGCAAACTTTTAAAAACTAATGTGCGCGACGCGAAGGCGAAAACCACATTTCGAAACCCGCCCGCCCTTCCATCGGTGAAACGCACGTGAACTTTCAAGACGAATTTGCGAGGTGCCTAAGGCGAGAACAACATTTTGACAACGGCCCGCCCTCCATCCTTGAAACTCTTCCGAAGTTTACAAACGAATTGTGCACGGTGCTCAGGCGAGAGCCACACTTTGGCAACGGCTCGCCCTCCATCCATGCAACCCTTTCAAACTTTTATCGAGAAGGTGCGCGGCTGTAAAGCGAGAGCTACATATTGCAAGCGGCCCACCGTCCATCCGTGAAGCTGTTGCGTATCATAAGCTTAACGACCAAATATGGTGAGGAAATTTAAAGCGAAACGCTCGGCCAACTCTACCAACACGTCTCGGGGTGCGACAGGGAGGAAGTGCTCATACGGAAAAGGGGCGGAGGAGAAGGAGAAGGAGGAGGAGAAGGAGGAGGAGGAGGAAGAGTAGGGGGCGGTGGATGGGGATTTGAGGGAGGAGAGGGGGGAACAGGGCTGAGGAAGAGGAGAACGATAATGAGGAGGGATGAGGCTGATGGTCAGGATGGGAATGATGCTGGTGAGGATGATGAGGAGAGTGAGGGTGAGGAGGACAGGAATACGGTTGGATGTGATCGCTGGCTTCTGGGATTGCAGGGGGTTCTGGCGCGGATCCTGCGGGGTCATCCCCATCCCTTTCCTTCCTCCTCATTCTTCTCTTCCTCCTCCTCCTCCTCCCCCCATCACACTCCTTCTCCCTCCTCTTTCTCCTCCTCCTCCTCCTTCTCCTCATTCCCCCTTTTCTCCTCCTCTTCTTCCTCCTCCTCCCTTTTTCCAGCTCTCCTCCTCCTCCTCCTCCTCCTGCTGCGCCTCCTTCACCTCCTCCCCCACCTTCTCCTTCTTCTCCTCCTGCTCCTCCCCCTCCTCGTTCTCCTCCTCCTCCTCCTCCTCGTCCTCCTCCCGCCCTCCTCCTCGTCCTCCTCCTCGTCCTCCTCCTCCTCCTCCTCTGCAGGCCAAACAGGGCGCAAGGACGCCGAGGCCTGCGGGGGTCCACCCCGAGCGAAACCTCCTCGCTCCTCCCTCCTCCTGCCTCCAGCTGCCTCCTCCTTCCTCCTCCCCTCCTCCTCCTGCCTCGTCCTCCTCCTGCCTCCTCCTCCTCCTCCTCCTCCTTCTCCTTCCTCGTGCTGCCTCCACCTCCAACTGCCTCATCCTCTTCCTCCTTTCCCTCCTGCCTCTTCCAACTGCCGCCTCTTCTTCCTCTTCTTCCCTCGCCTTCCTCTGGGACGGAATCATGACCGGGACAACATAGGACCGGGCCAAATCGGGGATCCCTGGGACCCGACGGTTCTGGAGGATGTGTCGGGCGCCGCGGCCGTTCCAAAGTACTCTGGAACGCTCTGAGAGCGTTCCAGGTCGCTCTGGGATGGTTTCTTCATCCTCGGCCTCTTCCTCTTCCTCGTCCTCGTCCTCCTCCTTCTCGTCCTCGTCCTCTTCCTCGTCATCCTCCTCCCCCTCCTCGTCCTCCTCCTCGTCCTCCTCTTCCTCCTCCTCCTCCTCCTCCTCCTCCTCCCAGTTTCCTTCCCAGCGGACGCACCAGGACGACTCGCAGTCGCCCAGCCGCGCCACCTTCGTTCCCAGTCGGGGCAGCAACCAGCGCCATATATTCTTCTTAGAGCGGGGCGCGGTTGCTCCTTCATCCCCGCGCGCCAGGGCAGCGACCGCCTGGGCAGACACACACACACAACACAACACAACACAACACAACACAACACAACACAACACAACACAACACAACACAACACAACACAACACAACACAACACAACACAACACACACAACACACACAACACACACAACACACAACACACAAGACACCAGACACCAGACACCAGACACCAGACACCAGACACCAGACACCAGACACCAGACACCAGACACCAGACACCAGACACCAGACACCAGACACCAGACACCAGACACCAGACACCAGACACCAGACCCCAGACCCCAGACCCCAGACCCCAGACCCCAGACCCCAGACCCCAGACCCCAGACCCCAGACCCCAGACCCCAGACCCCAGACCCCAGACCCCAGACCCCAACCCGAACCCGAACCCCAACCCCAACCCCAACCCCAACCCCAACCCCAACCCCAACCCCAACCACAACCACAACCACAACCACAACCACAACCACACCCACAACCACAACCACAACCACAACCACAACCACAACCACAACCACAACCACAACCACAACCACAACCACAACCACAACCTCAACCACAACCACAACCACAACCACAAACACAAACACAAACACAAGCACAAGCACAAACACTAGCACAAGCACAAGCACGAGCACAAGCACAAACACAAACACAAGCACAAACACAACTACAAACACAAACACCAACACAAACACAACCACAACCACAACCACAACCACAACCACAACCTCAACCACAACCACAACCACAACCACAACCACAAACACAAACACAAACACAAACACAACCACACACACACACGCACAAGCACAAGCACAAGCACAAGCACACACCCAAACCCAAACCCAAACCCAAACCCAAACCCAAACCCAAGCCCAACCACAACCACAACCACAACCACAACCCCACACACAACCACAAACACTACCACAACCACAAACACAACCACAAACACATACACAAACACAAACACAACCACAACGACAACCACAAACACAAACACAAACACAAACACAAACACCAACACCAACACCAACACAACCACAACCACACACAAACACAAACACACACACAAACGCACGCACACAAACACACACAAACACAGACACAAACACAAACACAAACACAACCACAAGCACAAGCACAAGCACAAGCACAAACACAAGCACAAGCACAAGCACAAGCACAAACACAACCACAAGCACAAACACGAACACAAACACAAGCACAAGCACAAGCACAAGCACAAGCACACACACAACCACAAACACAAACACGAACACAAACACAAGCACAAGCACAAGCACAAGCACAAGCACACACATACACACACATTCACACACCCACATTCACACACACACGCACGCACGCACGCACGCACACACACACACACCCACATCCACACACATACACACAGACACACAGACACACACAGACACACACACACACACCAGGCCCACACACTGTCCTCGGCGGCCGATCGCGCGGCGTCTCGGTGGAACCAGGCGCCCGAGAGCAAGCTGACGGAGGCGGTAGCAAGTGTGATGAAGGCGAAGAAGGATACAAGCAAGCGAGAAAGTGAGACAGAGGCGCAACGTCGCGCGCGCCAGGAGTTTCCTGCAAGGAAACGCAGTGGGAGGCCTCGGCGGGGTACACCAGGCAAACACCTCGACGCTGGCCCCGAGGAGAGCCCCTACACGGGACCCCCCCACTCACATACGGGACGCCCACATACACACGGACAATACGCTCACGCGGGGCCCACACGCAAGACTGACCCACGGGACCCGCACTCAGATCGCTGTCTGTCTGTCTGCCTGCCTGTCTGTCCTGTCCTGTCCTGCCCTATCCTGTCCCGTCCCGTTCGGTCCCGTCCTGTCCTGTCCTGTCCCGTCCTGTCCTGTCCCGTCTTGTCCTGTCCTGTCCCGTCCCGTCCTGTCCTGTCCTGTCCTGCCTGGTCTGTCTGTCGGTCTGTCTCTC